CATACCTGAATTATCTCTTCTTAAAACCTATTCTTGCCTTGGCCGGTCTGATTTTGTTTGTTGGAGTGTCATTCCATTCACCAAAGGGTCACCAGTTCAATTCCTGGTCAAGGGTACATACTCGGGTTGCAGGTTCGAGCCCCAGCCCCAGTCGGGATGCATATGGGAGGCAACCAATCGATGTGTCTCTCTCACATCGATGATGTCTGTCTATCTGTCTCTCTTTTTCTACTACTCTCCCTTCCATTGTCTCTAAAAATCAATGTAAAAAAAATATCCTTGGATGAAATTAACAAAACAACAAAAACCTACTCTTTCCCATTTGAAACAGCTTAAAACAAATGTCTGCATTAGTTATTTGTAACTCAACCAATTCCAAAATAAATAGGAGAAAAGGATAACTACAAAAATCATAGAAGACAGCAGACTGAGAAGCATGATAAATATACCCAGGGTGTTCCAATAAAATTTCATGTCACATAAAAAGGTGAAATAGAGGAAACATGAGATTTCTAAAATATTTTACTTTTGCTAATTTCAACATATCAAATGAAGCAACATATTGAGAATTAGCTCCACTCTTTCTCTTCCAGTCCCAGGCACTTCGAGAGCTGCTGGCTTCGGTGCAGATATGGCTAAGTCTAGGAACAACACCAGGCACAACCAGTCCCCAAAATGGCATAGAAACGGAATAAAGAAACCCCAATCACAAAGATATAAATCTCTTAATGGGGTGGATCCCAAGTTCCTGAGGAACACGTGCTTTGCCAAGAAGCACAACATGAAGGGCCTGAAGAAGACGCAGGCCAACAACGCCAAAGCCATGAGCACACATGCCTCAGCTATCAAGGCCTTCATAAAGCCTGAAGAGGTCAAGCCCAAGATCCCAATGGGCAGCAACTGCAAGCTCAATCAGCTTGCCTACATCGCTCACCCCAAGCTTGGGAAACGTGCTCATATCCACATCGCCATGGGTCTCAGGCTCTGCCAGCCAAATGCCAAGGCTCAAACCAAGCTCCAGGATGCAGTTTTAGCTGCAGCTCAGGCTCCCGAAGGTGCCCAGGCCCCCACTAAGGCTCCACAGTAGAGGCCTCTCTCTGCCAATGTGAGGATAGGAGTGGTGTGACCTCTGGGCTTCTGTCTGCATGGAGCTGGTATCCTCATGTGCTTTTGTACAAATAAACCTAAGGCAAGAAAAAAAAAAAAAAGAACTAGCTCCTAGCAGTGTCACACTGTTCTATACTGACCGCTGTGGAGATTCCAAGCATATGCTCCATACTGTTTGTTAGTGAAGCAAACCTGAAACCTAGTGTTATTTCACACTCTAGTTGAGAAAACTTTTGATAGCTCCCCACGTCTACCCATTAAAATTTAAATCACTGTGCATAGCTTTTATTTTTATTTTTTTAAATCCTCACCCGAGAACATTCCAGCATTTATCCTCAGAGCAGAAGGGAGAGAGGGAGGAAGAGAGAGACATCGATGCAACAGAGACACATTGAGTGGTTGCCACCCACATGTCCCCAACCAGGGCCGGGGACAAACTGCAACCAAGGCACGTGCCCTTAGCGGAAACCGAACCCAGGACTCTCCGGTCCGTGGGCCAACGCTCTAACCGCTGAGCCAAACCAGCCAGGGCTAGCTTTTATTTTATTTTTATTTTTTTCTTTATCGATTTTTAGAGAAAGAGGAAGGGAGAGGGAGAGGAGAGAAACATCGATGAGAGAGAACATCGACTGGCTGCCTCCTGCATGCCCCCCACTGGGGATTTGGCCCACAACCCGGGCATGTGTGCCCTGACCCAGAATCAAACCTGTGATCTCTTGGCACATGGGTCAACTCTCAACCACTGAGCCACACCTGGCAATTGTGCATAGCTTTTAAAGGCTTTGGGAGGCCCTGGCTCTAAATTATCTTTCCAGTCTTATTTTCCACTTCTAATTCTCTAAATCTATCACAAACACATTCCATTTCCATCCCTTGCTTAAGCTGTTTCATCAGCTTTCAATACCCTTCTCTCCACCACCTACTGAAATTCTATTCCTCCTTCAAAGTAGCAAAGTGCAGTGGAAAGAATCCAGCCTTCAAATCCAGATCCAGACCCACTAGATTTCTAACTCTAATTCCATTTCCACTACTTATAGCTTAATGACCTTAAGCAAATACTTAGTAAATCTGTTTACTCACCTAGGAGCAGGCATACCACCTATGGCACTCTGTAAGGCTACTGTTAAGGATTAAGCATAATGGTTATCAACCAGTCTCTAGCAACACACCTAAGAGCCATCCTTCTCTCCCCCTCCTATCTGTTCCTAAATTCCCACAGCATTTTGTTTATACCATTTAAGCACTAAAAAACTGCAGGATACTCATTCATATATGTATCTGGTTTCTCCATTAGATTACAAACAAGACAGTTATGGGTTTGGATTTCTAAATCTCGGCCACTTACTACTTATGCAAGTTACCTGACTCTCAGAACCTGTTCCTTCATCAATATACTGAATGGAGGTTAACATCTTACAGTATTATTATGAGGTTTAAGCCCGGCTGGTGTGGTTCAGTGGTTGAGGGTCGTCCAATGGACTGAAAGGTCCTGGTTCGATTCCCAGTCAAGGCACATGCCCGGGTTTCAGGCCTGATCCCCAGTGGGAGGCAGGAGGCAGCAGATCGATGTTTCTCTCTCACATTGATGTTCTATTTCTCTTTCCTTTCCTCTCTATCTAAAAAAATCAATAAAAACATTTTTTAGACAAGGGTTTAAAAGAGTTCATGTACATCAAATACCTGGCATAATGCTTGATACCTAGTAAGTTTCAAAGAATGTATAGTGGCAATCTGGATGATGAACCTGATCCTGAAACTGCTTAAAGAACACATAAATGTAAAATACATTTGCCTTATTAAATCCAATTTCATAAAGCAATCTTAATACAACTTTAATCTACTACTCACCTCTCTTACTGATATAGATATCCAAAGAAGACAAAAACAGAGGTTCACATGCACTTTACTTCAGAAATGCTACTACATATTCATGTTCTTCCAGTACCAGACTAAGTACACCATGACTCATAACTCACATCACATCATTACATTTAAACAACATGGGATAACCCTGAAGAGTTGTAGGGGGTAAAATGATCTGCCAAAGTTAAACAAAACTCTGAAATTAGTGGTCTACCAGGAAATGGAAGCTGTTTATTCATTCTGATTCTAATTTGCTGTGTCATCAACTTCTCTACTCAAAACTCCAATCAAATGTCAACTAACTTCTATGATGGTCTTTTTCCATTTATATACACTTCCAACCCACCGCTCAACATCTTAGTTGATGTATAATTAACATACAAAATCCTTTTAGTTTCAGGTGCCACTGCTCAATTTAAGAGGAAAAAACTCCAAAATTACAGTGAAATCTAATCAAAAAAATTACAGAAAAGCGAGAACTTGATAAAATAAAAAAGACAAATCACAGCATTTGCGTTCCACTTTCAGTGTTACACAGGTTGTATAGCACACAAGTCAAGGTCTCAGGAAAGGTTCTGAAAAGATGGACTTGGCTTTAAATCTGACACCACCACTTACTAGCTGTGTAATCTAAGCACCTTACTTCTTAAACCTCGTATCTTTCATCTGTAAAACAGGGATTGTAACAATATGAATCTCATAGTGTTGCATTAAAAGTGATAATGTACACTAAGTGTTTAGCAAAGTACTTACAACATCATACTCAATAATAAATGGTATTCTAACTAAGAGTGCCTGAGTACTAAGGTTCTTGGTGAATAAATGTTGAAATTAACGAATATTTAGCACATTTTACATTAGGAAAAAGTGTATCATTAACTTTAATTCTCTCTTAAGTTAAGTAATAATTGCCCTGGCCAGTTTGGCTCAGCGGTTAGAGCGTCCACCTGCGGTCCGGAGAGACCCAGGTTCGGTTCCGCTAAGGGCATGTACCTCGGTTGCAGTTTGTCCCCGGCCCTGGTTGGTCGTGCGGGTGGCAGCCACTCGATGTGTTCCTTTCACATCGATGTTTCCCTCTCTCTTTCTTCCTCTCTCTCCCTCCCACTCTGTCTGTACAAAAAATGGAAAAATGTCCTCGAATGAGGATAAAAAAAAAAAAGTTAAGTAATAATTAAGCAGCAGCAATGATATTTGGGAGCATTTTATATTTTACAAAGCCCTTCAGACATCCATAAACTCATTTGATCTCCACAATATCCTCAGGGAATACACATTTTTAAAATACATATTGTATAAGTAAGGAAATTGGTATCCATCAGGGTAAAAAAGAGACAAGGTTACCCACCCTCGTGGACTCCTCCACCCAGATTCTCCAGCTCAGACATAAGTGCTTATTGCTAAAGTTCTTAACCACACACCCACTTTAAAAGAAGTCAGATTCCTGCAAGTTACCACCCTCCTCAATCAAGCACGGTCAAGCACGTGAGTCCACAAATAAGCCCAGGGTAATAAACTCGCCAAAAGCACTGATGACATTTATAATATTGCATTTGTTTCCTTACGTATTGTCCTCCCACACCTTTAGGGCGGGGGCCAGGCCTGCCCTTCCCCCACCAGAACGCCCAACACTAGCCCTGGCATCCAAGATGCCCTCAGTAAATGTTTATGGAAGTAGCAAGGGATGCTGGTAAGTTTTCCAAGGACCCGAAACGAGGCCGACTCCGCGATGGGGATTAAGCATCTCCGGGGGATCCAGAGTCGCTCAGCAGAGAGGGTCGATCTGAGAAGGATGGCTGAAGACGGGCGCCCATAAAGGACATCAGAGAAGCTGACCCGCTGAGAGAAGAGGGGGAGACGGGTCTCGCAGCAGCCGCCGCTGGAAGGCCGGGGCAGCAGGGCAGTTGGCGTCTGGGGGAAGGGGGCCGCCTGCTGGTCTAAGAACCTCAGACCCAATCTCAGGAGGGTTCTGGCTCCTTGAGAGGCCCACTCCCCAGCCCGCGGCACTTGCTGCACCGAGTGATCGCTGCTACCTGAAACTGCAGCAGCTTCTCTGTCTGCTCCTGGGTTAGATCTTGTTCCTCAGGCGCCGCCATTTTGCCGCCGCCTCTACGCTTCTGACCCGTCCGCCCCGTCACCCACCGGAACTGATCTCAGCAGCAACTACGTCCGGTCGGATGGTTCCTGACACACAACTGCGTCTGCGCGTGGGCCGAGGGGGGTGTGGTGGTGATGGTGATGATAGTTCGCGCCGCCAGAGGGCGCCACTCTCGAGCAGATCCCGCACAGTTCCCGAAATTGCCGAGGGTCTGTCGGTCCCAGTTGCCTTCAGGAACGGATCTGCTAGGAAGCTGAGACTACTGAAGGGAGCGCAAAGAGCCGAGAAGTTCCGGAAATTCCCGAAAAACACTCGTCTGTTTTCCGCTGTACTCTAACCGTATGCGGGTAATCTCCGATATTCCTGAATGTCTCTTAGGAAATTGTAGCCCTTCCGAAATATCGGTCGTTTGATTCCTGCTATGATATTTCCAAAAGGTCTTGACCTACTCTCGGGAGGTTCCTAAAGTCACTGCATACTGGTCAGGCATTTCCGACGCCGCCTTCCAGGTGGAAGCTGTGGAAGGCTGTGGCCGGGAAAATCGTAGCTTTGAAGTCTTTTGCTAAGATTTTTGGGACTTGGCTGCGTGGACTTTGATGTTTAATGACGCTACCAGCCTTGCAAAGCTTTCCGTCCACTTCTGTGCCACTCTGCTCCTGCTGTTCCTGCTGCCTCAGGCCTGGAGTTCAGGTGCTGGTGCCCACTCTGCAAAGAGCTGTACATCCTTGTGCAAATCGTCTTCTCTCTGGGCTCCGTTTTGCCATTGGTGGGATGAGGTTCCTTAATAGCCTCCAGCATGCCGCCCAGTGCATTCTCCTTGGACGCAGACCCCCATCACCCTTTACACGGCCTTAACCACATCCCTCAATGTCTGCCTTCCTCTGCACTGTCCTTGTTCCTTCCAACCTACCACCTCTCCTTAGACTTCCCTTTTGCATTTCCACTTCTTTTCTCCTGCCATCTGCCTCCTCTGACCACCGTCCAGAAGGCCTTGGGGAGGCAGAGAGGTCGGACGCACACTTTTCCACAGACTCCGTGTGACTCCTAGCAAGGCCCCAGCGTTCTCCCCTTCTGCAGAATCCTACCACTGCCCATGTCACAGGTGAAAGCTGAAGTTCTGTGAAAAGCACATTAAGGGATGGAAGAACTTCCATTTGGACTAATTTTTCCGTTCAGGTCTGTATATCGGTCTTACCAGGTCTGCACACACTTCAAACTGCACAAACTTCACTGGATACCGGAATTTTTCTTAAACCTCTAAGGTAAAATTGGAAGTAAATAACGGTAATTTTAAAGAATTTATTACATCAAAGCTCAGGGAAAACATGGTACTGTTCAACATCTCCAATAATGCTGGATTCAGACAAACTAGGTGAGGAATTTCAAAGTCAGATGCCCTCTGGAGTCGTTATGGTAATTTTCAGATTTAAGATGTATAGACATGCATTGTTGTTATATTAAACACCATTGAATGGTTTTCACGTCCCCAAAGACACATACTTCTTCTTGGTCCATATTTCTGTTTTCTTCTTTGAGTAAATACATAGTTACAAGAAATATTTTACTTTGTTTTCACATCACCATAAGAATTTGCCTCACTGTGGGGCATACAAAATGGCAAACTGGAAAGTCCCTTCCCTGTTCTAAGGTGGTTTCTGTTTTTAGCTGCAGCTAATGGCTTCCATGTTAAGACCAGTATTGTCAAAAGTCCTCATTTTTAGAGAGCACCTCAAATTTAGATCTGCATGTGAAATCTCCCCATTTTAAAATGGTGATAACTGGCCCTGGCCTGCAGCTCACTCAGTTGGTTGGAGTATCTAGTACACCAAAAGGTTTCGGATTCAATTCCCGGTAAAGGCACATATCTAGGTTGCAGGTTTGATCCCTGGTTGGGGTGTTTATGGGAGACAACTGATCCATGTTTCTCTTTCACATCAGTGTTTTTTTTCTCTCTCCTCCCCCCCCCCCCCCGCCCTCTTTCCAAAAATGTCCTCAGGTGAGGAGTGAAAAAAAAAAAAGAGAGAGAGAAGCTCTGACCAGGTAGCTCAGTTGGTTAGAGCATTGTCTGGACACACCAAGGTTTGGGGTTTGATCCCCGGTCAGGGCACATACAAGTGGCAACCAATGAATGCATAAATAAGTGGAACAACAAATTAATGTTTTGCTCTCCTTTCCTCTATCTATTTAAAATCAATAAATAAGCCCTGGCCGATTTGCTCAGCGGTTAGAGCACCAGCCTGCGGACCAGAGAGTCCCAGGTTCGGTTCCCGCTAAGGGCATGTACCTCAGTTGCAGTTTGTCCCTGCCCAGGCTGGGGTCGTGTGGGCGGCAACCACTTGATGTGTCTCTCTCACATCAATGTTTCTCTCTCTCTTTCCCCCTCTCTCCCTCCCGCTCTATCTGAAGATAAATGCAAAAATGTCCTTGGGTGAGGATAAAAATAAAATTAAATAAATAAATAAACAAAATCAACAAATAAAAATTTTGAAAATGAGAAAGTACATTAAAGCTGGGCCGGTGAAACAAGGACGGGCTTAAGATACAAGAGGCAACAATAGTGAGACTAGGTGGCACTGCTTCGGCTCTCTGGAAAGTCAGAGAAAAGGGGGCCTTGAAGACAGGTTTAGAGGGTTAGCCTGGGACAAGCTGCTGCTCCTCATTACTGCCGTGGTTGCAAGTCTCATGTGAACCCTTGGAGTTTAGGAGATGCACACCTGTGCAGGAAGAACGGTTCAGGCATGCTGCTGGGAGGGAGAGCGCCTGGTTTGCCTCTTCTTTTTTCTTAACTACTTATGGCTGTGTGTTTCATACAGGGCTCTGTACAAAATATTTGCACATATTCTTTTTTTTTTTTTTGTGGTACGTGCCCTCAGCGAGACCTGAACCCGGGACTCTCTGGTCCGCAGGCCGACACTCAACTGCTGAGCCAAACTGGGCAGGGCTGCACATATTCTTTTTCTTTCTTTTTTTTTCTTTTATTCCTCACCTGAGGATATTTTTCTACTTATTATCAGATAGAGTGGAAGGGAGGGAGAGAGAAAGACAGAGAGAAACAGATGTGATAGAGCCACATCGACAGGTTGCCTCCCGCACGACCCAACCAGGGCCGGGGACCAAGGCAACTGAGGTACATGCCCTTGACTATAATCGAACCTGCAACTTGTTGGTCCGTAGGCCGACACTCTAACCACTGAGCCAAACCAGCCAGGGCTTTACACATTTTGTTTTTAATCCTCACCCAAGGACATTTTTGCATTTATCTTCAGATAGAGCAGGAGGGAGAAAGAGAGAGAGCATCGATGTGAGAGAGACACATCAAGTGGTTGCCACCCACACGACCCAACCAGGGCCTGGGACAAACTGCAACCGAGATACATGCCCTTAGCGGGAACCGAACCCAGGACTCTCCGGTTCACAGTCTGACGCTATAACCAACAAGGGCACTCTACACATTCTTTATAGAATAGTAAACCATCTGAAGGCTTCTCATTGACAAGGCAAATCATGATGTCAGCAAAGCTATCAAACCAGTGAATTTGCTCCTTCTTAGGCCACAACAGAAGCAAATGCCACTTGCTTCCTGGGTTCCAAAAGTTGTGGTCTTGGAACCCTGGTCATGTGCACCTCCTTTCCTCTCCCCATCAATTCCTTCAGTATTTACAGACAGGCTCAAGATGCCGATGCTGCTATCCATCTGTAACAACAAGAGGACAAACTTGCTGAGGGAGAAGACTGGGAATATCTGTTAGGTCATCACCTCTGGATCCTGAAAGAATTTCCTTTGTCTTGATGTATTTTCCACTTTCTGGATTAATCTATCCACATCACACTCACCCCAGGTGGGACTCCTGCTATAGAAAATGACCCATCACTGAGCTTTTTTTTTGGTAAGTGCTGAGTGTAATTTAATGTAGATGCCTCTCTTAAACTCTCTGGGCTTACCAGCTGCCTGGCATGCTACATGCCCTCCACTCTGCACACAGTGGACATACGGGAAGGATGTGGAGGTCTGGGTATACTAGGTAGAGTGCTTCTGGCATGGTCACATTAAAACACTTGTCAAGATAGAAGGAAGCTGCAGAAAAGCCAGGAAAATAAAAGTAAATGGCTGCTACATACTATACACCCCAATTCTTTAAAGAAGCAAAAGACTTTTTTGAAAGCCAGAGTTCATCTAAAACAAACCTGGCTTTGCTTACAGGAAAAGCTGTCTTGGACTGAATATTCCATCTTGTTCCCTGAGGCCTAGAGAGTCTGCAGGCAGCTGTGGATAGGAGCTGCCTGTTCTAGGCTCCTACCACTCTTCAGGCTGAAATTTGTCCTTTTCTGGGTGCTGAATGTTTCATCTTCAATTAATCTTTTGAATTAAATATATAAGATTTAATACCTATATGATAAAGGTCATACATAGATTTTTGCAAAAAAAGCATGAAGTTGATGTACAAATGAGTGAATTTAAATCAGATGATTCGCAGCCTGTTTCTGGGCCTACCTTGAGGGTCCACATTTTTAGAAAATACTCATATAAATTTTTAGTAAATTAAAGTTAATTTATTATACATATTAATTAAATGAATATGTTATGTCCAGTTATTTATTTACTTTTATAATCTTTTGTCATTATAATGATTATACATGCTCATTATTGTTGGAATGTGGTCCTGAAAAAATACATAACAGCACAGAGATATTTGAAAAGTAAAAAACATACAGTAACACCATTATGGGCAGAACACATGTAAAACGTGAGTATTTTATTGTTTTTATAGACTTTACCAAACTTTCCCTTTTGCACCTAACATTTTAATTTAATCAGAATTTGTGTACATATAATATTTAGCCCCATACTGTTCCTGTATTTTAAGACACGCCTTTACTAAATAAAATTCATACAATTTCAATCAGTTATAATGAGATAAGGGATGCTTCTTTTCAGAATTTGTGCATTAAATGTCTGCTTTTCTTAGTTGCCAGAGACAACTGGTGAGAATTTTTTTTTTAAAGGTACAGGTGTTGAAAATAT